AAATTGTTAAAAGGCAACTTTCTGACCACCTGCTCAATGAGAACCTCCTTAGCAAGAGCCCACATGGCTTTCTTAAATTTCGCTCTTGCCAAGCGTGCCGATTTCACCTTTTAAACCTCCTGACTAAATCAGTGGACTCCAAAAAAACTTACATAGTCGTATACCTGGATATGACCAAAGCTTTTGACAAAGTTTCGCACCCACGGCTTATTACCAAAGCCAAAACTTATGGGATAGGCAACCCACTCCTCTCATGGCTTTCTTCTTAACTTTCAGATCGCTCTCAGGTGGTTTTGATAAAAAAATGTCTCTTCCAACCCAAAACTTGTTACCAGTGGTGTGATCCAAGGTAGCGTACTAGGACCCTTAATGTTCCTTATGTATATTAATGACATTTCAAAATCTATTCATCATGGAACCCCCTTTCTTTTCGCCGATGACATCAAAGTTGTTTACTCTTTCTCACCAAATAGGCTAATAACCGTCCTAGACGACATTCGGTCAGACCTTCTTGCTCTTGATCGTTGGTTTTCCTTGTGGTCGATGACTTTCTCGGCAAACACAAGTAGCATATTGTCTGTTCGATGTCAAGTACCTCCGGGTTCTTTGACCATGAACGGTATTCCTATTGCCCACTCCACATCCCTTCGTGACCTCGGACTCAGCTACTCCTGTTCTTTTAACTTTTCTGAGCATTGTGCTTTACAAGTAGCCAAGGCCAAAGGCTCAATAAACCTCTTCTTTAGGACTTTCAGTCTCCGTGATAGCATAATCATTTTGTACAAATCCCACACTAGGCCTTTGTCAGAGTTTCCGTCAATGGCGTACTCCAGTATGAGAAAGCTAGATAGAGTAACCATAGAGAACGTCCAGCAAAGATTAATAAAACAAATCCTTGGCTGGACCTCAGACTTGAACTACATGGATGTCTCCTCTTAAAACTTGACCTCCTATGGTTACGCCATGCAAAGCTCAACCTTACCCTTCTGCACGGATTCCTGTATAAGCGGGCCCATTCAGTAGATGAAATCCGATTTAAGGTCGATCCACCATACCCCATTCGTAATCAAGTAAACGTCCTCCCCTTACCAAATGATAGAACAAACCCGACGAAAATTTTTCCTAGTTTGTTATTCACGCCTCCGGAATAAACTTCCAGTTGAAATAAGGCAAATAACGTCCGCTCCAACGTTCAGGAATCACATCCGTCGATTTCGCACTCTATCTAAAATGGCCCAACTGCACAATCTTCACGACGAATCATCAGCTTGTGAGAACGGGCTTGATTATTAAACGTCAGAGAAAGATCGCAGTTTACAAAATATCCTGTAACGCACTTGGAACGTAGTGTGAATAATTATTTCTAATGTGATGCACTGCTGACCTAGGTTTACAGCTGACTCAGAAGACTCAACCTTCTATAACATACTAACCTGATATCAGTGTTGAATTTCCAAACTCATATGCCAGCAGCCAACTGATTGATCTCTGTGGAACATCCTAACCAGATACATGTGGTCACCTTTCAACCCATTTCTAATCAGTAAACCGGTCGAGCTTCAAAGCTTGATCAGTGGAAAAAAACACTTACCGCGCGAAAACCTACAACAGGTTTGTCACTCACAGCTCACAATATTTCCGGTCTGTTCTTTCATCTCTGACTCTCATCCAACTCCTCTTCGTGGTACTTGTGCATTATGCAGCAAAGATCTTCTCTCAACTTTTTTCTAAGCAGTACATCGGTCATGCTTCAAAGCTTGATCAGCGTGAACTAAGCTTGTCAGCTGGAAAGAAACATAAGGCGTTACCTATAATCCTGAATAATCTCGGTCCGACCTTTATCTCCACTCGTTTGATGCAATTCATCTGAGTGGCACATGCTGACCAGGCAACAGTGATCACTTGTTTTTTGTGTGCGCACTTTATGTTTAAATATCTATATCAATATCCATACTTTGGGGCACATACGCGCTCCGAATATTCTCTCGCAACATGCTGTTCCCCTCTTCCCTCCTCAGCTGGGTATTACCCCAGACTGCCGAGTTTTGCCCTTTTTATTCCAGATTCGGTTTTCTTGGGCCTGCCGAAAGCTTGGGGTCCTCACCCAC